TGATGTTGCAAAACATTCGCCATTGCGTCATCTCATCAGCCTTGACCCATTTGTCATAGGCCTTAACCTGATCATCAGTAGTATCTTCATCAGGTTTTTCTGGGCACTCCTCAGTGATTACAAATTTGTAACCTTCAGCAGTTAAGACAATATCAAGGTTTCTTTTTCAGTCAACATAATTCGGTCCTTCTAACTTGTTTTGGTTCAAAATTGAGGTAAGTGGGTTGAATGAAGACATGGTTAATCTGAGAGATATTCACATTAAATAGATTATTAGTTATGTAATTAAAATAATTAAATTCAAAATAGCACATTACACATATAACTATGCTTATTGAATAGTTAGATTCGTTAGGAAAACTTAACTATTCATGCAAAATATATGAGTTATGTAAGATATTTACCCCATAAATTATAACAAGACCAACTCAGAAGGAGAGTAAACTGTTAATTTAAGATAGGTAAATATCACTTTTATAAACTCTAGTTTCATTGAATCAACATGTAACTCATTTGGAGAGTTAATACAAGTAATCAAATAACTAGAGGCAAAACTACAGTAATCATCTATAATGAACTTATCTGATGTGGAAGAAGACCTATGTCAACATATAAATTCATTATATTATTGTAAAACATGATTGGAAACCATGGGAATTGAACCCTACCATCACCGTTTTCTTAATTGTTTTTTATTAAAATTTTTTTAGAAAATAGAAAAATGGCCAAAAACCCATCTAAATGACCCTGAATGCCCAAAATACGATGTACATCATGAGCCAAGCTCATGTGTATTGCTCACTGGGTCATTTTCGATGAACCTACTAAATTTGAGGTCAATCGGAATTCGACAGAATTTCAGAATTCCAAATTCATGACCTATTTGTAGAATTCTGTTTTTGGCGTTTTTAAGGGTTTTGATTATTTTGACTCGTTCAAATCACATAATATATTTATGTATGTTAATTCATGATTTCAGAACTCAAAATAATATTATTATTACAGTGTTATATAAAAACTATTTTCGAACAAAACTAGGAAAAACAGAATGTTTTTCACCCGTTCAAAACGCCATTGTTCATAATTCCATATATTAATCCATAATTTAGAACTAATAGTATTCAAAAACAGTCACATTTTTATTAAAATAATACTGTGATTATGGACAAAAACACAACTAAAACAGATTGTCATGAAATATAACACCACTTTTTATGCATAATAACAGAATTAATAGTATTTAAAAACAGTTATGTCTTTATTAAAAACAACATTGTTATTCAACAAAAATGCAATAAAACAGATTGCCATTAAATATAACACCACTGTTTATACATATGTATATTAATCCATAATTTTAGAATTAAAATACTAATAAAAACCAGTCACGTTTTTGACATAGAATAATCATACCAAACATGTATCATTAAACAACACATTTTAATATTATTCTATTCATGCTCTATTACATTATCTAGTTAGATGTAAGACGGCTATGATACCAATTGTTAGAACATGCGCAGCGGAAGCAAGCATACAAACTAGGCATAAAATACATGTAAACTAGACAATGATATAATTACGAGATTAAGAACCACTAACTTCTTGAAAACGTTGCACAGGTCCTCCTCAGAGCAATAATCCAGGGCTGCAGTCTTCTGCTATGATCCTAGTAAAACCTTGGACGAAATTGCTTTGAGTGGGCAAGAACAATACAACTCGAAAAAGGTCGTTATTTGGTGAAAAACGTCTTCCCAATGTCACTTTTTACCCAAGTCAGTCCAGATTTTTTACTAGGCATAGCAGGGACCATAGAAATAATAAGAGGCTACTAATTATAGTATTAATTCGAAAATTTGGATGAATTAATTCTTAATATTATTAATTAAAATTTATTTCACTAAAAAACTGCAATTGAACTCCTCAATATGAATTTGAAAAATTCACTAACACTTATTTTAACTCCCCATGTTAAGGTCACAAATACCAGTTAATTAAATTAAATCACTAAAAATTTAATTTAATCAAATAATTAAATCCTTTATAATTTTGCTTAAACTATTTCATGTGACAGATACAAAATCCACCAGCGGGGTTTTCACATGAAAACTTATAAGCTTACATAAAGGGGTATTATCATACTCAAAACTGAGTCATGGATTCTATCAACTAATTATTATTTCACAAATGCTATTCATTATTGTCTAATCTATTAGGCATACATTAACTCTGATAGAGTTATATCTTTTGATAAATCAACACAATAAATAAATTACATTGATCATAATAATTATATCAAGATTAGGAGTATAAGCTCATTTAATGAATTAGAGAAAATATTTTATATATATTCAGTACAAAAATATCTTTTCTCAACTTGGTCCGTTCAATATACACTAAGTATACTAGCACAAGAAGTCGGAGTAAAAATACTCCCATAATCAAGACAAATTATACCATAATCTTGTGCTACAATTATCAAGATATTTTGTCCAATAATATTTTCGATTGTGAACATAGTTTATTAATTATGAGAACCGACAATTTAATCTTTTGTGCATGAGCTAAGACTCCATAACTAAAGGACATAACTAAAGGACACACATGTAACAAATGATCTATTTAAAATAGTACTTTATTGAATTGAGTAAATTAAATAATTAAACAATTATTCCATAAAGAATAAAAATAAAAGACTATGTCTAAACAGTATGGTTAATAGTATATCCCAACAACAACAGCTTTGAAACAGTTTCGAAGTCGTTGTGTTTCAGCTCTAAAGAAAGCGCCTAGCACGTTTCTTCTCTTTTGGGTTTTCGACGAGGTTCGAGGCTGCCAGAGAGGTCGTTCTCAGTTCTAGTTGAAGCGAGTCGAGGTCGACGGTTGAAGTCCCGGTTCTTTGGTCTTGTTCGTGTTTCCACTTTGGGTCTTTGTTCGCGGCTATGTAAATCAGTTGGTTTCTTAATAAAAAGGTCCATCCTCTTCTCTTAAATTCATTTTTTTTTTTCATGAATGGGTTAATGTCATGCATTCGTTAAATTCCATCAATTGTTTGGTTGCTCTATTTCGGAATCCTTGAGTTACTATCTCGTTGCTTTGAATAGTAAAATATTTTTGTGTTCTGTTAATTTTGCTCTTAAGAATGTAAGTGCTTAATTTTGATTTTTGAATCCTAAACTGCAAGAATGAAGAAAGCACAATGTTTTGTCGTGGAAATCCTTTTGGGTTGGTTTATGTCATGTTTGTTTTTTGTCGTTAAAGTTTGATTTAGTTTATAGGATTTTTGCATCTGATTCTTCTAAGCAAATAGCACGGGCTAGCCAGTTTTCGGACTGGTCATTCAAAAATAGTCGGCGTTTGCCAAGTCATTAAAAAATAGTCACTATTTTGCTGCAACAGAGACCGGTCCAGCATAATATACTAGAGTTCGGTGCACTTGTGTATGAACTTTCAGCATATTATGCTGGACCGGTATACTTTGCTGGCTCCAGTATATTATACTGGAGTTCCAGTATATTATACTGAAATTTCAGTATATTATGCTGGAGTATTTTACGGATTTTGAACAGTGTTTTTGTTTAGATTTATCTTTACATAAAAAGTGACTAAATTTCGATGACCTTTTAAACTGTGGCTATTTTTAAATGACCGCTTGTAAATCTGGCTATTTTTAAATTTCTCCCCATGATTTCTTAATAAGTCTTGTATTGAAATCTGCCAGGAGATAAGCCTTAAATTAAGAATTTGTAATCTTACTTGTTTAGTATGTTAGAGTGGAAACGAGATTGGGCTTACGATATGTTAAGAAGAAGTGGATAAGAGGCGGACTTTTATAAATTTATTGGGCCAAATGAACTGGTATCTATCAGGCCCAAGACCAACGACCAGCTAGTTGTCAAGTCCAATTCTTCAAAAAAATGAACAAGCAATCCAATATTACACTTTTCTCATAACCATTACTCCATAAATTCCTAGCCTTACTTAAACCTCAAACTTAGAAAGAATAATTAATAAATCACTTCGTAGTTTGCTTTAGTCGCAATTAATAAATTATTGTAATTATGGGCACGGTTCCCGTGACATTGTCATGATATGTAATTCCAAATTCAAGTGCACGTCCGCGTGACTTAACCCCAACTTCAAATAATAATAAAAATAAATATATTGCAAATCGCGGGTGCGTTTCACGTGGCGCGAGTCGCAATATGTACGAAATAACAAGTGTACGACATCATAACTTGTTTTAAATAAATTCCATAGTTACTTAAAACATAAAATTAAAAGCGGTAAAAGGTAAAAAGAGCACATAAGTTTTAAAACATGTACTAATAATCCAGATAATTGAGCCAAGTATAATTTGTTAAGCGACCGTGCTAAAACCACGGAATTCGGGAGTGTCTCACACCTTCTCCCAAGTTAGCAGAATTTCTTACCCGGTCTTCTGTGTTCGCAGACCATAAATAGAGTCAAACTTCCTTGAATTGGGATTCGAATTAAATCGGTGACTTGAAACACCGGAAGTAAATAATTTCAAGTGGCAACTCTAAAAATTAAAATAAATAATCTCATTTCAAATAATGTCATCAAAGTGGAAAAACTCTTTATTTTCGGGAGAAGGAGGTATGAAAAGTGATATACTTGGATGTTAGACTTTAGATCTTAACAATAAAGAAAGACACTACTCGGCAATAACTTCTTTTACATGGAAAGAAACTTTAGAAGATTGCTGTTTTTTCTTCATTGCATGTCGAGAAATGGGAATTCAGTCAGTGTACGTAGTTAATAATCTTCAACAAACAAAACTTTTTTCTTACCCTTTAACATGGTAACAACTGAACCATATTCATCTGATTTTGGGATAGCTCTAATCTGCAACACCTAAAACCACCATTGTAGCCTTCACTTGAGTAGTAATTGTACTAGTTGTATTTATATCACTAGTAAGAAAAAACGACGGAACACTTTCTAGCCGCACGAAGAGATACAAATTGAGCAGGAAGCAAGTTAAAATGACTTTGTTAACAAGACAAAGATGGTACCCATTCCATCTCAAAAAAAAGAAAGAAAAGATGGTACCCATTACAGCCCTTCCAGCTACATAAGCAAAAAGATTAATCACAGATGTGCTTCAAGCCTTCATTTGTACAGTGTGATATAACTCTAACCTCAAATCTGAAGCCTATGGACTCTCCAAGTATTCTTGGAGCTTTTTTATCCTTTATTTATTCTCATCTTAAATTCAGTCACAGCCCCAAATGTAGCTTTTAAACATGGCATGACACACTAAGCAGCTACTTGTCATGAAACCAGCAAACAACTTCTCCATTAACCCCAGAGACATGTGAAAGAAAGCGTTGAACAATGATTCAATGATTGAAGAGGCATTGACAAGACCTCGGCATTCTCGCTTATGTTATTAAGACTCACTTGTCGTCGGGGGCTTGGGGACTCCTTTCATAGTTTCTTTCCACACTAAACAGCCACCAAGCATCCAAGCCCATGATATCTTAACCTCTAATACAAGTCTATTTCCACTCTTCACCATTTGCAGCAACAGAACAAAGCCCCATCCGTTCCTTTGAAGATGACCAGCTATACAACCATCAAATAAGCAAATTGCCGTAGAATAATTATAAATAGATGTATAAATAGTGGGTTAAAATCTAAAACTAGAAGAAATCCCAAAAATCAAATGCTTGACATAATATATAACAAAAGATTTGCTTCGCAAACAAATCCAAAGAAGCATTGATGCGGAAAAGAAAAATGAGGGAGGAGGAAAGGAAAGTCCAATCAGTCTTTGAAATTGGCATTTCCTGCTGATTTCATGCTTCACATTAACAGAGGTGTATACTTTCCCTGCAAAATAAGATCTTGTTCCTTTATTTGCATCACCAAGTCACAAGGAGAAATAAAATATCCGAGAACTACAATTACATAGTGTGAGTGGCATTACAGTAAGGGTTCTCTTAAGAGTGCTTCTTTTGAATTACACACATTTATCTCGAGACATTTGTGATACTTGATACTAAGTGAATTTCTCTCTATTACAGTGATATTGTTTTGCTCATTCCATTATATGTTTCCCTAATTTGGGAAGGGATTGCAGACTTGGGCCAATAACTCTCATCTCCTTTGCCAAGGAAAGAACTATAAAACTCCATGACAATGGTTTATTTGGAAAACAAAAAAAGATTCCCAAACAACTTCTCAAAGAAATCAATAGAGAATAACATTGAATGACTGGCATCCATAGAGCCTAGTTTCCCAGAAGCCTAGTATATATGTATTTTTATATATTACAAGCTACTCCAAGTATAGTTACATCCCCTGGCAACATACAGTTATCTTATAGTAACGGATGATGTCCATGAAAAGCTTGTTTTTTTTTTGTATTCCCTTTTCTAACTTTTGTCATTTCTCAAGGATTCTCGTCAAACAGAGTTTTATAAAAAAAAAAGCATGTCGAATTTGCCACCAATACCAATAGGTTGAATTGCACTGATCCATACATAATATTTACAAAGTCGGGGGTGTCCGGAAACCAATGCTAGCATCATGTCTCAAACGTTGTACTCCCTTTGTTCCCCTAATGTTGAAGCACATTTGTCATTCAAAGCCATCTTACTTACAAAAAAATGTATTCAAGCCATTTTAAGCAGAACTCTAGAGCATAAGCAAAGGCTAAAGATGTCTGATGATCCAACAATTGGTTAAAAAACTCACATTAGCTAGTAGCTAGTACAAGTGTGCTAGTTTCTTTGAGTTAAACTTCATAACTTGCATCACAATATAGGTTGAATCCCTAACTCAACAAATACATTTCAAATTGCACATGTATACGTATTTTACCTTATCAAAAGAAAATTGTACTTGTATACATGATAAGAATCACGAACCACATCAATAAGTGAGACCATATAAACACAGTGCCCTACATTCAATAACTCATTAATAAATTATCTAGCACAAGCAAGAATCAGCAGGAGCTCCTTAATCATCTTTTCCTGTTTCATTCTTTTGCCACACACAATAAGTTGAAACTATCTAAACATATAACATTGTCAAGCAATCCAAAAGGGTTGCACAATACATCCAAGCTCCAACCCCTTCCCACCGCTGAGCAAAAGACATACAAGTAGCAGTAGTAGTAGTTATCTTACATGAAAAATTCAATCTTTCAATCGCCTTATACTTTAAGCAGTTGCAACTTGTTAGAAAATGCAATAGCAATCCAATCACGTTGCGCAGCAGACCACTGAATTTGATTAATCTCAGCTCCAGCAGAGTACATTGACATGGGATCAATCCCATTAGGCCCAGCAACAGTAGGCAACTCCCAAATGAGGGCCTGCCCATCATCCCCAGCTGAACAAATATGTCTACGACTCTGTGGAGCCCACGCAATCGCATTCACACTCGCCTGATGCCTTTCCAACTCCGCTACAGGCATCGCTGGTGACCTAATATCTAAAATTACAATCTTGTTACTATCCATTAATATAGTAGCCATGTATCTCAAATCTTGCTTGTTCCAAGCCAACCTCAATAACGGAGTATCCGGTTGTGGACTCTCGTAAATAATTGTAGAATGTTCCTTATCCCTCAAATCAAAAATCCTAACTGATCCATCAGCAGAAACTGATGCAAAAACCCCAGCTTCACCCCAAGCTATATCGTAAACCTCTTTATCATGGGCTATCAATTGGGTTTCGACAACCCCTTTTTCAACATCCCAAATAGTACAAGTAGTATCAATACTGGAAGTACCAATTCTTCTGGGCTCAACTTCATTCCAATCAAAAGAGGTTAAAGGGGCACAGTATTCACTAGTTTTACTGTTGTTGAGAGTGAAAAGTGGTTCAATAGAACTTTCTCGAACTTCCCAGAGACGGAGGTAATCACCGGAAGAGGCGAGAATGTCGTTGGATTTAAGGGAAGCAGAAGGATTAGGATGGAACATGAGTTTAGTAGGTGGGTAAGGGTGATCGAAGGAGAGATTTGGAATTGGGTTTAGGGTTAGGGTTTCTTCATCGAATGAGAGAATGTCGACCCGGTTGTTGAATTCTTCAATGAAGCTGCCGACGGCAATGCGACGGCGGCGGTTGTGGAGGGGAGAAGTGAAGGAGGAAAAGGCCATGGCGTAGATGGGGTAAGAGGAGTCATAGGTGACGGAGTTTTCAGATCGGAGGTGGGATTCTTGACTTGAATTTTCCATGTTTGGTGGGATGAATTGGGGAAATGGAAGGGAAATTATGTGTGTATGGGTTTGGTAGTGAAATGGATGTCAGTTGTGCTTACATTTGATTGCTAGAACGAAGTGTTTTTTGACCGGCAGTTGGCTCTGCGAGAAAATAGGGACCAAAAGATTTGTGATGAAATGACTGCTATGTTATTTTGTTGTTATTAATGTTCTTATTCAATATTTTCAACATGATTTTCTCATTCTTTTTTGTTGTTCAACCTGTTAGAAAAATATTTCTTAAGCCAAAATTTTTGGGAAATAACTTTTCTATCCTCGAAATATAAGAGTAAGATCTATCTTGTAGGAATATATTGTTATTATATTTTGCATTTGAGTTTTTGAAATAAAAAATGTTTGGTATGACAGTACTTTTTTAATGACTTTAGGCAGTATGAATTCAAGTTATTAGAATATGTGAATTTCTGATAACGATTACAAATAAATTAATAAATAAGTAAATAATTAAGGAAAATAGGGGTGAGTAGGATTTGACTTGGGTGTTTTCTGCAAGACCAAGACGCAGTCACGTTCGGAGGCTAGAACTTGGAATTTGGTCTCTAAACGTTGGTTCTTGTTTGAACCTTTAATCATACTAGTATCAGATTTTGAAATTCCAAGAAAAAAGAACCTTGAAGATTCAACATTGATGTTTTTTCTTTGTTTACCCCTAAAACGAGTAACAATTAAATTTGTACACGGTTTAAATGATACATGGCTTGATTCAATATGAATAATTAAGAATAACAAGTAGATGAAGTAAAGACAAAATAAACTATCAAGCCAATCACAATGTAATGGCTAAGCCTGATCTTAGATTGAACAGTAGAGTTCGTCCTCGATCGGACCCTCGGTACAAGCTCGATCGCGCGTGCAAAAAATAACAAGTATGCAATGCTAGCTAGAAGACAAAAGTAGACTTTTATTGCTTTGAAATGCGTGTTACAATATGCCACACTAAAAACAACTTTCCCTTTATATAGTAGGAGAATTTCAATCCAAGTACAAATCCTAAAAAAGGTAAAAAAAAAATATTATTTTCTCGGTAATTGTTGATTTATAATGAACACCGAATGTGATTCACGCCGTAAAATCCGGTTGAGGACGAATATTACGGCCCCATATTCGTCATGCATAACCGTCCACCATATCTCCCGAGGTACATAAGCCATACTTGGTTCGGGGCACGTCGCCTTACCGTGTCCGATCTCCAATACATCGTTCATTCTTCCCGGGTCTCGATATGAGGGGTTCCCGGCCTCAATTATTATTTCGTCGATTCGTGCTTCCCCTTCGTTCTCTCATCGGGGAATCAGGGAAAACTTTGCCCCTGATTTTATCCGTACACAGATAGTCCCCTCGTTATTCGGAGAGTAGGTTTATCGAAGCGACGGGAAGCGATGAATTAACTCTGGTTTCTTCCTTCATACGTTACAACTGGGTCGATGGGTCAGTGAAACGTCCAATCAGTTGCGTCGTTCAGACTTCGGACACGTGTTAGCCACCTGTTGACTGTGCTCAAATGCGAAACGTCACACACTGATTACTCTTTTCCTCTATAAAAACTCCGATCCTTTTTTCACTTTTTTTCTTTTCGATTTCATAGCTGTTTGATTTACCCTCGAATTCTCCACCTAACTCTAAACTCTTCAAATCTTCATACGTCGCTTTCCAGATTTTCATATCTTCATCTTCAAATCTTCAAACCTTGAAATCAGATCTTCATATCTTTATCACCATCTTCAAATATTCATATTTTTCTTCAAATCTTCATATTTTCCAGAATCCGATGGCAAAAACTTCTAAATCCGTGCCTCAACAAACCCCCTTCAACTTCCAAACTGGCTGCGGATGTCGAGGTGTCCGTTCCTGAGGTGGTCTCGGAGCCTCCTTTAAAGAGTTTCATTTCTGGAGGTTCTTCCATCGAATACGACCACAAAGTCGAGAAGGTTTCAGTAAGGAAAACCAGGGCGAGGGGGTATGGAGGTATATATCCTCAATTACCGAAGAAATACTCCCCATAGTCCGGGTGTACTGCAATTGGGAGGGCAAGGAGGTGGTTGTTCCCGGGTCCAATAAGGACATCACCACTACCATGGAGGGGTATTTAAGTATTTACACTTACCCTTTCACACTTGCCCCGGTGGACCCTATAATCCTCGGCTTCTGCAAAAGGTAGAGGTCTACCTTGGGGCAGATTTATCCATCCTTTTCGAGGATCGTAATCCTCTTCCGCCACTTCATAAACAACACCGAAGCACCTCGGTTCACCCTCGACCATCTGCTTCGCCTCTACAGTCCTTGAATCTTTCGATGGGGGCTGATCAAGCTCGTTTGCCGAGCAAGTAAAACTCCATTCTCGAGCATCGATGAAGATCGAGATCGAGGTTGGCAGGGGAGGTTCATTCGGATGAAAACCAAAGTCCACATTCCCCCCGAATTTCTACCGTTCCCTGAAAAGTAGAACTCATCCCGTAAGTCTTATCCTTCTCGAGTGCTTGCTATTTTCTTTTGTTCTTTTTCTAATTGCATGCATCTACCGTTGTGCAGCGGTCACCCAAGTTCCCATGCAATCCCCCGCTTCAAGAAGTGGATCGATTGGATTTGCAAACAAATATCTTACTTCGAGCGCGAATGGCGCAAGCTCTCGAGGGGCAAGTGGGAGGCCCGTTCCCATGGTGAATCTTCTGCCCGAATAATTATATTTACATACTTAACTTTTATATTTGCCAAGTCTTTTTCCCTTTCACAAGTTTTCCCAAGACCACCGAGCTTCAGCCATTGGATGAGGATGAGGCCCCGTCTTCGCTTGCTAAACCCTTTGCTTCGGGACAGACCAAAGCTTCTGCAAAGGAGGAGAAAAAGAAAAATAGGAAATCCTCTGGCTCCCCGGACGCCGAGGTGAAGAAGAAGAGGGTTGTTGTCCGGGTTCGAAAAAGCAACAAAAAGAATACTAAAGCCAAGGTAACGGACCCCGATTCCCTCTTCCGGCTCAGGGATTACCCTGAAGATGACGACCTTGATTTCATTGCTCATGGGTCGACCATCGACGAAGGAGAGCGGGCGATGACTGGGGAAGGTGGCTGAGGGGTCGATTCCCCTCTAGCTCGGGAACCAGAAGGAGGATCGGAGGCCACGGCCTCCCGAGAAGCAGCTTTTGCCCCGAAGGAGGTAGCCGGTGTCATCGACCTCTCGGAGACGCCATCCCACACAGAGTCCATGTTCAAAGAGTCTCAAGCCGATAAAGAGAAATTAAACAAGACGGCCCCGGGCCCGGATGATGCTCTCAACATGTTCTTCGACGGCATTGACATGAGCTTGTTGGAGGACTACTCCGGGCTTGGTCACCTAGAGGTCCCTAAAAATGATGTGCCATAGGGAGCGGGCAAGCCGAGCTTGAGTCCAAAGCTAGTGAGGTAGTTCCCTGCCTTGAGTGTGGATCCCGACCGCAAGAGAACGATCGTTCTTACTATCCCAGCGGATGCCCGGGCGCTGTCCGCTCCGGTGGGTGTGGCCTGCTACCTTCATTTCCTAGTGACCGAGGAGGACCAGGCGAAGATGAACGAAGTAGGCCCATCGAGCCTCTTCAATAAGTCGCAACAAGCACTGAACTGGGTAAGACGTATATTCTTTGTATCTTTTGCGAATTTTTCTAAGTTTTGGCATGTTCTAATGATCTCATTGTTTTTTAGGCTTCGGTGCTCCATCATGAAAGCTTCATTCGGTCTCTCTTGGAAATCAGCTAGCTCGAGTTCGAGCTCAAAGAGCAAGTCTGCAAGAAGGACATGTACATGGCTCTCAGTGAACAACAAGATGAGTCCCTCAAGGACCTCCTAATTCTGCGAGTTGAGCTGGAAAAGGCACAGAAGGAGGCCTCATCTGTGAAACGGGAGCATGCCGAATAGTCGAGAAGGTAAAGATCTTTGAGGCTGTACTTGTGATGACTAACGGGCAACTTCGCAGGTCCAAGAGAAGATAGACTTGATTGACCAACTTTGGGCCGAGATGGATGAGGTCAAGACCATGGCCGAGGCGATAAAGGGCAGGATTGTCATGACCCAATTCTCACTATAGGTCGTGATGGAGCCCAACGTCGGTGTTAGGCAAGACAAAGGTGAATTGCCAACTCAATTATTCATTTTTATTATTTTTGAAATCATGAATCTTTGTTAGATAAAGTAATTAATGCCTTAAAATCATGGAAAACTTACAATTTAAGTAGGATAAATAATAAAAGTGGGTCAATGCTAAGAAAACCACAATCAAATTCTAGAACATCCCCAAAACCCAACGTCACAAGTGCATGAGTATCTACTAGGAAGTACAATAGCTATACAACATCTGTCTGAAATTTAAAATAGACAGGATAACATAAACGAACATAAAAGAGACTCTGTGTGCTGCAGATCGTAACATAGGATGTAGCTCACCGTAAAGTCCCCGCAATAGCTGTGCCCTTGCGTCTAAAACACCACCAGAAATATATACCTGCACAATAAGTGCAGAAGTATAGCATGAGTATGTAAATCAACGCGTACCGAGTAAGTATCTAGCCTAACCCCGGATAAGTAGTACCAAGGGGTCGACATCGATACTTACTAGTGGTCCAATAAATCAAATAAAGTAGAAAGTAAACAAGTATAAAGCATGATAATTAAACAGTGCAAACAAATATATGTACATGATATGATCCTCATCTGAACAGTAAACACAAAGTCCTCAAATATCGGTTACTTTCTTAAATGGAGTATATAATATGGTCCCCACCAGATAGGTCATCACATCTCAAGTCGGGAAAACTCACAGATACATTGGCTTTTTGTCAAATATTACGCACGATTCTACCGAGGCGAGCGACCCGATACTATAAGAGTGTTTCATGAAATTGCCGAGGCGAACAACCCGATCTCATAAGAATATATACATCATGCTGCTGAGGCGAATGGCCCGATCCCATAAGAGTGTGATACATGATACTGCCGAGGCGAATGACTAGATCCCATAAAAGTGTGTTACATGATACTATCGAGGTGAACGATCTGATCCCATAAGAGTGTGATACATGATACTGCCAAGGCGAATGACCCAATCCTATAAGAGTGTTGCTGAGGCGTTCAGCCCTATCCCAATACAATATGAAGCTT